ACAGCTCAAAAGTTAGCAGAAACTGTTCTGACTTCTATTGAAGTGAATGGTTGTACATAATAGAAATTTCGGTTTGTCACAATATATAAGATTCCACTTACCTAAATTAGATGAAATATACATTGTCATTAAAATACAAAGTGCTTAAACGTTGAATTAAGTACTTAAACATTACAAACATGTGCTTGAAATTTCAATTTAGAAATAAATACACCAAAAAACACCTAACTTAAGAACAATAAACATTTCAACTTCATCAAACTTCCTTCAAGATTGTTTCTCGCTCGAATCAACCTTAGAATCATAACCATCGACCTAGGGCACATAGGTGGATCGACCCACCATTGTTCCAACCTTCAAACATGACTAAAAATCGACAATCGGGTTCAAAGTTGTCCACGATCATACAAATACAATGAGCCTCCATAATGGCAGAGCACCATGATTGTTTCCTTTTTAAAAGAGTTCGAAGGGCAGAAAAGTGTGAAATAAATTGAATGAGAGAAAAATCAAATAAGGGAAGAAGAAGAAACGAGACATTTTAAGAAAAGGACGAGTGGGTCATCATGAAAAGACCAAAATATCATCCTTGATTTTGTATCTAACGACATAAAAGAGACAATTTATGGACAAAGACCAATCATGTAATGATTTCAAACCAGAGGAACAAGTGACATGGTGTTTCTCATAATGTCCAAACTTAGACTTTTTGTAAACCATATGGACTGAAAATGATTTTTTTGTCATTAATAAATAATATAATATTTAAAAAAAGCGGAAAGTATATAACAATCACTTTTTCCGGGGACTAAAATCATAACAAAAAACTATAATGAGACGGTCCAAGTGAAAAAAAAAAATAATTAGGACGAAATTTGGAATTTACCTCAAACCATAGGGGACTATTTGTGTAATTTACTCTGAAAAATAAGTAACAGAAGCGAGGGGAGTAAACTCATTCGACGTGAACGTGAAGGGGCAAAAAAAACCCTCAATAATTCGTTGGTATTCGTTTCGCTTTACAATCGGCCACCGGAGACTGGGAATTGCAGCCTGAATCTGCTGGATCTAAACCGCTGCTACATTAAATCATCGGTAGTAGATACTAATGCAACCTTTAGGGTTTACTTCATCATTAGAATTTGCACAAAGTTTCACCAAATCTTACTAGGAGAAGCCGTCCGTTTTTCGTGGATCCGAAGATGAGCTATCGCAGGTTCGATCTCTAATATCTATAAATAAAATGGGCTCTATAGCTATCAATGTTGATATTAAATTCATGATTATCATTCATTATTGGTACTATTTTATGCATCCGAGTTGATTGTTTGGGGGAATTAGGAAATGTTAACAGGAAAAACTAGTTTGAAATCAATGCTCAATATTGCTGTGCCATAGTGAAATGAAAAACGCTAACCCTATGTAAATGCGTAGCAGAAGTTTGGGAATTAAGTAGTTCCTTAACCAGGGAATCATTGATTTGTTAATTCGCATTGTTGATTCATCGACTAATGAAATACATAGCTGTTAATAGTACCTTTAATGGTGAAAACGTCCCCTTATCTTTAGGATGGGTTGAGCGTGTAGCCTGAAGTCTTTTATAGCTTTTTTGTTGCAAATTCATTAGTATAAACTCAACTGACATGTTTGAAAAAGCTCAGAGAAAGGGTTTAACAGTTAACACTTCTCTCAAATATGGTGACATGGTAAAGCTTGTAATACTATTGACTAAAAGCCTGTGTAAGCCAAATCTGCATATTTTTTTTTTGTAGGGACAATCGTGCATCTAGAAGTGCTCTATTTGATAACCTTGATGGCATTGAAGAAGGTGGACTTAGAGCTTCTTCATCATATACAGATGAACAAGAAAATGATAAATCTTTAAATATTCTGCAAGACAAAGTTGTCTTTCTAAAGAGAGTAAGTTCTTGAACTTTAATTTTTAATGAATCTTGGACACCATTTTTGTTTTTCTCAAAAGATTTAATTGATAATTGTCATGTTCAGTTGACTGGTGATATACATGATGAGGTGCAGAGTCATAATCGCATGTTGGACAGAATGGTAAATATACATTATACATACTTCAATTACATGCATAATTTCTTTTATTTAGTTATTTATTTATATATTTACTTATTTATGGTCATTTATTTAATAAACAGGGTAATGGGATGGATTCAGCAAGGGGGATTATGTCAGGAACTATGGATCGCTTCAAAATGGTAAAAAAAAATTATTATTGTTTTACTTAGTCAACCTTTTACTTATCTTGACCAAAATGCCCTTTAGTTTAAAAAATAAAAGTTGGTTGCTATTTTGGGTAAAAAGTAAACTACATTAATTATTTTTGGTAAATGATAAAGTACGTTGCTATTTGGCCAACTGCATAGTTATTTTGTTGACTAAAATGCCCTTTTAGTTTGAAAGAACAAAAGTTGGGGGCTAATTTGGGTAAAAAATAAAGGACAAGGTCTATTTATGTAAATAAAAGCGAATTTTAATCATGCAGGTTTTTGAAAAAAAATCAAGTAGAAGAACATGTAAACTTGTGATGTATTTTGTCATGTCATTCTTCATCATATACTACTTGTTCAGGTATGGATATATTTCTTTTTATATTTAAAAAATAACACATTTTATTTTTAAATTAAGGCGGTATTATGACATTATTGTTGAACTATTTTTTTTAAATTATAAAATGTTGCAATTTTGATTTCAATTAATTATTTGTTGATTGACTTCTTTTTTTTTTTGCAGGTTCCTTATGTATTATATGTATGGTTAAATTGTATTTTTCATGCATTTTTATAGTCTATAGACGTTTATATATTGGTGTTTGGTTTACAAAATGTTTTTTTTTTTTTTTTTTTTTTTTTGAATTATTGAAATACGTCTAAAGGAAGTAGAATCTGTCATGTGTTTGGTTGGCAGAAAACGGAATTCAGTTATATGTCTAGAAACAAGGAATAAAGAATAAAATTCAAAATTTACCATATATACCTAGAAACAATGTAACCTCAAGTATGAAATTTGAAGAACCTTTTGCAATTCAATCATGATGGCAAAGAGGAAAAAACACGTGGTTTTTTTATTTTTTATTTGTTATGAAGTATATAAAATTATAATTTTTCTATAAACCAATAAATAGTTGATGATAAAATTCAGAAAAACACAACCTGTTATACAGTAAACAAACACTTGCATTATTTTGTGTCCAACAACAACTCATTGTATTTTACTTTTAAAAAAAAAATCCAAACTAAAGGTTTGCAAAAGATTTAACTGGCTATAAATTATATCCCGGCAAAAATAGAGGTGAACATGATACATAACCAATTTGTTTTTCCCCATTATGTTATGTGTATCGTATCATTTTTAGTTAATACATAAATTTAGCTATCAATATTGGGAATGAATTTTAGTTATTATGTCTTCAAGCCCAAAACAGAAATCTAGGAAATAAAATCAAGCCCAATTATGTGGAATTAATGAATTATATATTAAATATCATATTACCAGATTTTTAGTCATAAAACCTAAAATTTAGTTTATGTTTCGTTTTTCAGAATTGTTAAATATACACTGATAACAAATGGTAGCAACCAGTTTTACCATAACCGAACTTATTTTTAACTTCAGGCTAATCACCATCTTCATAGAATTACCAAAAAACGGAGAACCATAAGAATATAGACAGCATTTATTTTGTTAAAAAACGACTTGATCTTACTAATTTTAATATTAATTATGTATTTTTTTTATGAAGGATGATTTGTAATATTTTAATTTGGAGTTATAATTACATGGATGGACGGACCACTTGGTTTGATTAATTTATTTTGGGATCCAAAGTCCAACCGGCTTTAATTGTAACATTATTGTAATCAGATACAGACCCCCTCCCCATTCTTTTCCCTTAATTTTAATTACAATTAGGTGTCGCTTCTCAATGCCAAATCACTTATTTACAATCAGGGGCGGAGCCAAAATTCTTTTTTTAGGGTGTTCCTTTTATATATATATATATATATATATATATAGGGCCGGCCCAAAATGTTAATGGACTTGGGTTATGAACTTATAATCTATAATCTGATGATCGAGTTGATTCTATAATTGTAAGTTCATTTTATACCGGACCAGACCGGAATAGGGTTATATACATTCTCATTGTGAGAAGGGGTCATTTGAGCGTTGATTTTGAAGGTATAAAATAACCCCTTAAATACAATTTTTTATATATAAGTAAATTAAATCTGAAAAAGAAAAACTAAAAAATAAATAAA